CTGCAGCGGGGCCTCTGTCGGAGGAAACTGGGAGGAGTGAGGGGCAGCCCGCTGCCGCCCCTCGACACAGGGGACGCAGGTAGGGCCAGGCCCCGGAGGAAGGGGAGGGAGGGACCGGGGAAGACCAGAGACAAGGACACGGGAGGCCATGCCTCGGAGACGAAGCAGGGAGGGGTGACCAAGGCGGTGGTGCCAGAGGAGAGTCTCGTGAGACAGAAGGTGACACGAACAGGGGGCAGACTCAGGACCAGACCTGGACGCTGCAGCAAACACCTGACCCGACGCAGCTACCTGACCAGACGCAGTGGTCAGTGTGTACAGGCTCGACCCCGGCCGACGTGTAAACGTGGCCAGGTGTCGGCCTGTCCGAGCGTCCGTGCAGTGGGTCACCCGCTGACTCGCAGGAGTGAACTGGTGAACCCCCGCATCCTGTAGGTCAGCACCACTCACCAAGTTCGTAGAGAACGAGGGGAGGTAAAGACCAGACAGGGTGCCAGAGGGGGCCGCCGGACACGGGAGGACAGTGGAGAAGTGAGCAAGGACAGGACCCCTAGAGGGGTCTGCCAGAGAGACTGCAACTGGCCAGCCAAGCGGCGTGAGTCTGGTGCGGTCTCGAAAGAAGGAGCGAGAAGCCCCCGAGTCAAGGGTGAAGGTGTGGGAGGCCGAAGCCGACGCAGAACCTGAGAGAGCAGACTCACCAGCACCTGAGGGAGCAGACTCACGAGCACCTAGAGCAGCAGCCTCGCTAGCACCTAGAGCAGCAGCCTCACCAGTACCTAGAGCAGCAGACTCAATGCCCGGGTCGGGCGGAAAACACCGGTAACAGTCACCCTCATCACTAATAGTCACAGTATACATGGCAGCAAGAATAGCATCAAAGTCAAGGTCAAAGACAGCTACACCCGCCCTAGACAGCTCACCCCAGCGGGGGATCTCAGTGGCCTCAGGGAACTGGTGACGCCTAGCGTCCGTCAGGCGGCCAAAGCAGCGCTGGGTGGAGTGCGCACCCCAGCACTGCTCACCCGCGCGGTCTCCGGTGCGTAGGACGTAGGTGCACGGACCAGTACCCCCACCCCGCTGGCGTGCAGCGTACCACTCACGGAGCTGCTGAGGGGGGGGGATGTCACGAGTGCGCTGCTGCTGCTGCTGCTGCTGCTGCTGGCGCTGACCACCACCGGAGCCGACCCTCTGCGCAGCGCCACCCCGACCAGCTCCACCTCCTCCGCCGCCGCCTCCTCCACCGCCGCCACCTCCGCTCCCACCGCCACCGCCGCCGCCGCCGCCGCCTCCACTGCCGCCACCGACACCTCCACCCCCGCCACCACCCCCACCGCCACCCCCACCCCCTCCACCGCCTCCACCGCCGCCTCCACCGCCCCCGCTAGCTCCTCCAGTGCCCCTGCCCCCCTTGCCCTTGCCAGGGCGGCGTCTCCCGCTAGGGGTAGACGCCGCACCGACCGACTCAAGCCCAACGAGGTCGGCCGCAGCAGCAGAGGCAACAGAGGGCAAAAGGGGGGAGGGGGAACACCCCTCAAAGATGGGGGTGCGAGGGTCACCACGAGAGGCTCCTACAGCTACTATGCTCTTTTCTGCTGCTAGGAGGGCCTTCTCGAGGAGGTCAACGGTGAGAGTGGTGGGGCAAACTGAGAGGAAGTGGTCCCTGACTACGCGAAGGGAGTCAGGGAGCCGGGTGACTATGTAGTAGAGGGTGATGTACATGGGGGGGGGGTTCTTGGCGCAGAACTCAGCAGGAAGCGCAGCGCGGTAGCGAGTGTCACTAGTGCGGAGGTGCGTAATGAGGTCAGCGACTGTGGGAAAGGCAGCAAGGTCAGGGAAGAGGTACGGTAGCATGAGGCGGCTCAGTGCAGCAGTGGCAGGGGAGGAGTAGCGCGCAACTACAGCGTCGTACAAGGTCTGAGCACTCTTGTACTGGCTAAAGTGCGCACGCTCAGAGGTAGGCAGGTGGCGACGCACAGCAAGACGTGCAGCAGCATCGCGAGTGGCCCACTGTGAGCGAACAGTGGCGTCGGCATCAGCAGCAGGGGCAGGAGAGGCACCAGAGGTGAGGTCAAAGAGGGAGAGACCGTCTGCCCTATCGCACTGCAAGAAGAGCTGCAGGTCATCTACCCCGACGTCAAAGTCAATGGCCCGACCCTCAGCGTCAAAAGCGAGGACACTAGGGGTAGCCATGACAGCAGTAGACTAGCAGCGCGAACAGTAGGGTAAGGGCAGTGCAGTGACAGAGGCGCTGCTCTTACCAGACAGGGCGGCTCGGGTGGCTCGGCGGCTCAGCGGCTCGGCAACTCGGCGGCTCGGGCGGCTCGGGCGGCTCGGCGGTACGGCGGCTCGGCAGCAACAGCGGCTCGGCGACTCGGCGGCTCGGGCGGCTCGGGCGGCTCGGCGGTACGGCGGCTCGGCAGCACGGGCGGCTCAGGTGGCGCGGCGGCTCGGGCGGCTCGGGTGGAACGGGCAGCTCGGCAGCAGCTCGGCGGCGCCGGCGGCTCGGTGGTGACGGCGGGGCCACGCGGGGAGCGGCGGCGGGGCCTGGTGGAGCGGCGCCAGTAGGGCCGAGGCGCACCGGCGGGTGCAGTCAGCGGCGGCAGCAGCTGCGGCCCCGAGGGAGGTGGTGGCGGCTGCTGCTGGCGACGGCTGCGGCTGCTGCTGCAGGGACGGCGGCGGCCGCTGCTGTAGGGACTGCGGCGGCTGCTACGGCAGGGGCGGCGACGGCGGGCCGGAGGGGGCGGCGACAGGGCCGCGAGAGGCCGCGAAGGGCGGCGAAGGGGCCGTGAAGGGCGGCGCGAGGGGCCGCGGAGGGCGGCGACGGGCCGTGATAGGGCGGCGCGAGGGGCCGCGGAGGGCGGCGACGGGCCGTAGGGGGCCGTGAAGGGCCGCGGGAGGGGCCGTAAGGGGCGTAAGGGGCCGCGCGAGGGGCCGTAAGGGACGGCGCGAGGGGCCGTAAGGGGCCGCTAAGGGCGGCGCGAGGGGCCGACGGGCGGCGCGAGGGGCCGTAAGGGGCCGTAAGGGCGGCGCGAGGGGCCGTAAGGGTGGCACGAGGGGCCGTAAGGGCGGCGCAAGGGGCCTTGAGAGGGGCCGCTAAGGGCGACGCGAAGGGGCCGTGAGGGGCCGTGAGAGGGCGCGACGGTAAGGAGGGCACACAGGGCGCGACTCGGGCAGGAGCGAAGCGCGCTCCGGGCAGGAAAAAAAAAAATCGTGGTGGGCCCTAGGAAGTGTTCCCACTAGGGAACCTGCTCGATACCACGAGAAGAAACGAGGAATGAAATGACTAAAGGAAAGTTGGGTACAAAAGCAAACCCTAGAAAACTGTACCCCATATGTGCTACCCCACTATAGCCTACAGTAGCTATGTCATATAAATCTGACACTTTGCTCGCCTCTTCCGTACCATATCAATCACAGTTGCAGCATTGATGCATTTAGCATTTGCTTCAGGGCATTCACAATCACAATAATTGTTCTATGTTTTTGTACAAGTTTGCGTGGTACCCGTCTGTGCTTGTTTCGGAGTATAGTGCTAAGTGCCTCGTGTATGCAACTGGGGTTGTGATCGTCGGTGGGGCAGCTTTGCTCGCCTCTTCCGTACCATATCAATCACAGTTGCAGCATTGATGCATTTAGCATTTGCTTCAGGGCATTCACAATCACAATAATTGTTCTATGTTTTTGTACAAGTTTGCGTGGTACCCGTCTGTGCTTGTTTCGGAGTATAGTGCTAAGTGCCTCGTGTATGCAACTGGGGTTGTGATCGTCGGTGGGGCAGCTTTGCTCGCCTCTTCCGTACCATATCAATCTCAGTTGCAGCATTGATGCATTTAGCATTTGCTTCAGGGCATTCACAATCACAATAATTGTTCTATGTTTTTGTACAAGTTTGCGTGGTACCCGTCTGTGCTTGTTTCGGAGTATAGTGCTAAGTGCCTCGTGTAAGCAACTGGGGTTGTGATCGTCGGTGGGGCAGCTTTGCTCGCCTCTTCCGTACCATATCAATCACAGTTGCAGCATTGATGCATTTAGCATTTGCTTCAGGGCATTCACAATCACAATAATTGTTCTATGTTTTTGTACAAGTTTGCGTGGTACCCGTCTGTGCTTGTTTCGGAGTATAGTGCTAAGTGCCTCATGTATGCAACTGGGGTTGTGATCGTCGGTGGGGCAGCTTTGCTCGCCTCTTCCGTACCATATCAATCACAGTTGCAGCATTGATGCATTTAGCATTTGCTTCAAAACATTCCTAAACATTGTCTTCTGTTTTTGTAATCATTTATGACTTATTTATGTGTTTTCGTCTATACTTGTTTTGGCGGTGTGGTGCTAACTGCCTCTGTATGCAACTGGGATTGTGATCGTCAGAGGGGCAGCTTTGCTCGCCTCTTCCGTACCATATCAATCTCAGTTGCTGCATTGATGCATTTTGTATTCCCCTCAAAACATGTACGACGGTTCTTGTACACCATCGATTTTGTGGTCATTTGTGTATGTGTGTGTCTTTCGGTGGTACCGTTGTACGCATTTTCTGTGTTGTCTTTTGTGTTCGTGGGTCATTTCGTATTGTTATTTATGCTAGAACGATTGTCCAATTGTTCCATTCGCCGTACTTATCGACGATTATGGAATTGTTGGAAACATTTGTTTTCATTTTTTCGGGGAAGTTACATGAACAGTGATTTCTTTCAAAATTGATGGGAGAAATTCACTGTTCACGTCAGCCAACCGGAAAGTGAAAACGAATGTATAAGGTTGCTATGCAACCCAAAAACACCCAGTTACGAAGGAGAGACAAGTATTGTCTCTCGGTAATCTCGGTCCATTTTTCATGGCAGCGTTAGTGCCATGCTGACTAACCCGCCCTGATCAAGCTCATGTTACCTGCCTTTCGTAACAAACGCCCGTTATCCAGTTTGCCTCGCTGCAGTCTCAGTATTGCCTCGCTATTGTCACATTCGCTACCTTCACTCCGCCAACAGATCCTCGAAGCGCCCGATATGGCGCCGCCCCGCGCCTTCGCTCCTGCGCGCGCCGTTAGCCTCTTGCTTCCGCGTGCCACGGCGCAGATCGCGGGAGGAATCACCGGCGATCTACCGGTTTCGTTCGTGCCTGGCAATGCCGTCGCGTCATTGCGCACAACGGCTCTGCAACCCCAAAACCCACCAACTCTCGCCCTGATTCCTGCGCTTCCCCGCGTGTTCCGCCATTTTTCTTCGGAAAAACATATGTCCCCCGTTCCGCGCAAGCGCCTTCCGCTGGTCGCAGCGGCTCAGGCGCAGCACACTGATGTCAGCTCCGATCTGGCGGAACCATCCCCGCCAGGCGCAAGCGGCGCAGAGAGCGCGGAGGCCGCCGGGGGGAGAAGTAACTCGTTGGCGGAATTTCCCCCGCTGACGTGGCCCATGCGGAGCCACCTGTGCGGGGAGCTGCGCGCGGCAGACGAGGGCGCGCGCGTGCAGCTGTGCGGGTGGGTGGGCGCGCAGAGGGGGCTGGGCGGAGTGATCTTCATCAGCCTGCGGGACCACTCGGGCATCGTGCAGGTGCGCGTGAGGGGGGCTGGGAAAGTGAGCGAAGGAGAGTGGGGGAGGTGGGGGAGAGGGAGAGGGAGATGGAGAGGGAGAGGGAGGTGGGAGCAGTGTAGCAGCCGAGCAAAATAGGAGGGCAGGGCAGCACTTAGAGGCACACATGGCTGGCCCCATTCCGTCCGCCCAGAGGCGCATGCAGCAGCGCATGCATCAGCGCATGGAGTATGTGTGCGTTGCGCGTGACTGGGGTTGGTCGTCCCACTACTTCCCTCCTCCCTTGCCGTTCCACCAGGTCAACCCACGAGGTTCAAGTCCGACTCTGGGAAGCCCCCAGACGCCCACGCGGCAGCGCAGTGCGTGCTGTGCGAGTGACAGGGGAGCTTAGATTCCTTTTCCCCTCTAGTCCAACCAACCACCCCCTCTGTTCCACCAGGTCAAGTCCGACCCCGAGCAGCACCCACACGCCAAGGTGGCAGCGCAGGGCGTGCACATGGAGTATGTGGTGCGCGTGGGAAGGAAGGCAGATCCCCTTTCCGCTCCCCTCCAACCATCCCTTCTGGCCCACCAGGTCAAGTCCGACCCAGAGCATCACCCGGAGGCGCATGCAGCAGTGCAGCGTGTGCGCATGGAGTATGTGGTGCGCGTGGCAGGGGAGGTGCGCAGGCGGCCAGCAGACATGGTCAATGGGAAGATGGCCACGGGTGAAATAGAGGTGAGCGGGTGGATCGTGCGTGGGTGTGTGTGTGGTGCGAGCGAGCTGCAGGGGAGGTTAAGAAATGGTCGGCGGATATGGTGAATGGGAGGATGGCTGTATGACCTGTGGCTGTATGGCGTGTGGCTGTATGGCGTGTGGCTGTATGGCGTGTGGATGTATGGTGTGTGGATGTATGGCGTGTGGCTGTATGGCGTGTGGCTGTATGGCGTGTGGATGTATGGCGTGTGGCTGTATGGCGTGTGGATGTATGGCGTGTGGCTGTATGGCGTGTGGATGTATGGCGTGTGGCTGTATGGCGTGTGGCTGTATGGCGTGTGGCTGTATGGCGTGTGGATGTATGGCGTGTGGCTGTATGGCGTGTGGCTGTATGGCGTGTGGATGTATGGCGTGTGGCTGTATGGCGTGTGGATGTATGGCGTGTGGCTGTATGGCGTGTGGCTGTATGGCGTGTGGATGTATGGCGTGTGGCTGTATGGCGTGTGGCTGTATGGCGTGTGGCTGTATGGCGTGTGGCTGTATGGCGTGTGGCTGTATGGCGTGTGGCTGTATGGCGTGTGGCTGTATGGCGTGTGGCTGTATGGCGTGTGGCTGTATGGCGTGTGGCTGTATGGCGTGTGGCTGTACGTAACTGCCATGCCCGTTTCTGCAGGTAAGGGTATGAGAGGTCAGGTGCCCAATGCAGTGCAGCCGCTTATTGCTATGCGGCCTGCGATGCGAGAAGGCCTCGTATTGCTTCCATGACTTGATGTCATGACGGCCATGTGCATGTCTGCCCACACAGAACGTCATAGCAAGTGCTGTAGAGGTACCTAATGCACTGCCAGGGGCTGTTGAAAGCGAGGGGCTGTTGATTTGAAAGTGAGGGGCTGCTGTATGCGAGATGAGAGAGTTGACCATGCCATCATGTGCTGCTGTGCTGTTTGTCCCCCACTCCCCACCCCCAAAGGTCATAGCATCGGAGGTGGAGGTGCTGAATGCGGTGCGCGTGGCGCTGCCCTTCTCACTGACTGCAGCAGAGGGTGCTGACAACATCAAGGAGGAGGTCCGCCTGCGGTGAGTCACAGCCAAAGGTAGCAGCTACGGTTCAGAGCGGTGGCACCTGGTGCATTGCACTGCAGTGTGGGTGAGAGTTACGGTATAGCCTGCCTGGAATGGTACTGTGACAGCATAAGGAGAAAGTTCACCTTCAGTTGGGTGAGCAAATGTGATGCAGGGTGGTGCAATGCGATAGTGCAATGCGATGGTGCAATGCGATACTGCAGTGCGATACTGCAGTGCGATACTGCAATGCGATACTGCAATGCGATACTGCAATGCGATACTGCAATGCGATACTGCAATGCGATACTGCAATGCAATACTGCAATGCGATACTGCAATGCGATACTGCAATGCGATACTGCAATGCGATACTGCAATGCGATACTGCAATGCGATACTGCGATACTGCAATGCGATACTGCAATGCGATACTGCAATGCGATACTGCAATGCGATACTGCAATGCGATACTGCAATGCGATACTGCAATGCGATACTGCAATGCGATACTGCAATGCGATACTGCAATGCGATACTGCAATGCGATACTGCAATGCGATACTGCAATGCGATACTGCAGTGTGGTACTGTGTCGTGCAGCATGGTACCTACCTACTACCTCTGACAAGTCTGGAGGTGCTTTGAAATACATGACTCCACTTCCCCTTCTCCCATGCTCCTCTGTCCCCTTTCCCTCTGCCACACTCCTCGAATGCTCCTCCCATGTCCCCCCCAATCTTTCCTATTGGCCCCTATTCTGAGCTGTCTTTCTTTGCCCGCTCTCCGGCTCCCTGCACACTTTCCTCCGCCCCCTCTCTCCCTCGTTTCCCCGATCTCTCACCCAGCCCCTCCCCCTCCCTCCCCTTCCCCCCCCCTCCCTCCGCCGTTCCTCCCCCTCTCTCCACCGTTCCTCCCCCTCTCTCCCCCGTTCCTCCCCCTCTCCCCCTCCTCCTCCCCCCCCCCGCCCCATGCACAGCTACCGCCATCTGGACCTGCGGCGCCCGCTCATGGCGGCCAACATGCGCAGGCGCCACCAGATCGTGAAGACGCTCAGAAGGTTCCTGGAGGACGACCTGGGGTTTGTGGAGGTGAGATAGGTGGTAGGTTGGTAGGTAGGTGTGAAGGCAGCAGGAGAGTGCTCATACAACTTGAGCAACTCCTTGCTCCCTTTGCCATGCTATCCTTCTGCCCTCCCACCATTCTTTGGAACCTTTGGGTCAATGCACAAGTCACGCCTCCTCTTCCTCATTCGCTGTCCCCATCCTCCCTGCCTCACCTTCCTCCTACTGCCCTCCACATCCTCCCTGCCTCACCTTCCTCCTACTGCCCTCCACATCCGTACCTGCCTCCCTGAAATGCCTGCCTGTCTGCATGCTCCCACCCACCCACGTCGCCCATTGTTACCTGTCTGGTCGCTTCCCTCCTAACCTCTCGCTCTGGCCCTCCCTGCGTGTCTGTGTGTCACAACCCACCCCCCAGGTGGAGACGCCCATTCTCACGCGCTCCACGCCTGAGGGCGCCCGCGACTACCTCGTGCCGTCCCGCGTGCAGGTGGGGGGCACACATGGGGTGTTGGGGGAACGAGTGCAGGTGGGGGGGTGGAGGGGGAAGAGCATATGTGAGTGCAGAGGGGGAGGAGAAGCTTTGGTGTTGCTTCCATACCACCATGCCTCCATGCCTCCATGCCTCTCTTACTCACACTCATGCACTCTTTCTCACTGCCTTCCACCGCCGTCCCTCCTCCCATGCGCTTCTCGTCCTATCCTCCCCTGCGCCGTACACAGAGCCCGCAGCACTGCCCCTCCTCCATTCCCACTTCCCACCCCCCCGTTCCCTCACTGTCTCCATCCGCTTTCACGCGGGCAAGTTCTACCCATGGCCGCAGAGTCCACCGCGAGCGACCTCTCCCCCCCAACTGCTTCTTGTCGTCCCTCCCTCCCTCCTCCCTCCCCGGGCAAGTTCCACCCGCCACTGCAGAGGTGACTCACCCTCCCCCCTTTTAACCCTTCCTTCCCCCCTCCTTCAGGGGGGTCAGTTCTACGCACTGCCACAGAGCCCACAGCTGTTCAAGCAGATGCTCATGGTGTCTGGCTTCGACCGCTATTACCAGGTCGCACGCTGAGCATGGAGGAATGGGGGCCGTGTGGGGTTGTGAGTGAAGATGAAGAGACGAACCAGTTGCGTCACTGCATGTACTCCCTCCTCCATGTCACTGCATGTACTCCCTCCTCCATGTCACTGCATGTACTCCCTCCTCCATGTCACTGCATGTACTCCCTCCTCCATGTCACTGCATGTACTCCCTCCTCCATGTCACTGCTCTTCACTACCCACACCTCTTCTGTGATGAGGATCTGAGGGCGGACCGCCAGCCCGGGTTCACTCAGCTGGACATGGACCTCTCCTTCTCCTCCCCTGATTCTCTGCCTGTCTTTTTGGGAGTCACTTTTTGAGAATTCTCACAAGTGACTCTCATGAAGCTCTCCTCCTTTCCTGCTTCACTGGATGTCGTTCCCCTACTCCCAATCCCCCGCCTTCCACACCTTCTTTCAAACCCCCCCAGGTGCTTTCGAGACGAGGATCTGAGGGCGGACCGCCAGCCCGAGTTCACCCAGCTGGACATGGAGCTCTCTTTCACACCGTTGGATGAGATGCTCGCGCTGAATGAACGGCTGATGCAGCACGTGAGTCTCTCAGGGGTCTGTGGAGAATAGGAGGGGGCAGAGAGAAGGAGAGAAGGAGGGGAGGGAGGGAGAGAGGGGTCGAGAGGGAGGGGAGAGGGGAATTAGGGTGGAGGGTGGGGGGCAAAGGGGGGTTTCAGGGTCGGCTCGGTTCGCTGAAAGTGCGTTCATCTCACCTCATCTCAGCTCGGTTCCCCTTGCTGCGCGTTTGCCTCCCATTCCTCCTGTTCTTCCATTCAATGCCCAACTTGCTCCATCCACGCCCACCCAACGCTCCGCAAACAGCTATTCAAAACCATCAAGGGCGTGAAGCTTCCAAGCACCTTCCCCCGCCTAACCTACGCTGAAGCAATGCTCCGCTTTGGCTCGGACAAACCGGACCTGAGGTTCGGAATGGAGATAGCTGATGTGAGTCCCCTGTTTTCAAAACAAGTAAACGGTTCTTGGCCTTCTCATAGCAGGGGTGCCACATCACATGCCTCTTTTTGCCACCATGCATGCTTCTTTGTGCCACCATGCATGCCTCTTTGTGCTACCATGAACGATTTTGCCATTCATGTATTTATGGTACTGTGCTGTACGATCTTGCATTCTCGCTGCCTCACCCTCTCACCTGTTCCCTTTCTCTGCCCCCTCATTATCTACTGTTTCCCTTCCCAGATCTCTCACATTGTCGCAGGCAGTGGGTTCAAAGTGTTCGAATCTGCCCTGGAATCAGGGGGCGTGGTGAGGGCAGTGTCAGTGCCAGGCGGCGCAGCAAAGATTTCAGCGACGCGGGTGAAGAAGGGCGACGTGTTTCAGGAGGCCGTCAAGGCGGGCGCCAAGGGGCTGCCCTTCCTCAAGGTGCTGCCGCAAGGTGTGTGTGTGTGCGTGTCCAGTCCAGGCCGAGTTGTCCACGCACAACACAACACAACTCTCTGCAGGATTCCTCCAGTTGTCTACGTGGCGGTCAAAGGCCGGCCCTTAGCTCTTTCTTCTCACCTGACCTTTCTCTACAGGAAACCTTCTCTACAGCCCCACTCTGCTAAACTCCCTCTCTCCCGCCCCCACTTGCTCCTTCTTGTGTCTCCTCACATCCCATCCCTCTCCTCCCCTCCCCAGGCAACATAGAGGCCATTCCAGCCATCTCTGCTGCCTTCTCAGATGCGGACAAAAGAGCCGCCCTTCTGCAGTCCCTGAATGCGCAACCGAGCGATCTTGTCTTATTCGCAGCGGGCCCGGCCAATCAGGTGGCAGCAACGCTCGGGCGGCTGCGGCTGTACGTGGCGAGGAGCTTGGGTCTAATTGACGAATCAGCGGAGGCGATTCTTTGGGTGACCGACTTCCCCATGTTCGAATGGAACGAAGGCGAGCAGCGGCTGGAGGTGCGTGGGTGTGTTGTGCATGTGGTGTGTAGCGTTGTCTGTGTGTGCATGCATATGGCTGTCACCCGTTCTCTGGCTGACGGACTTCCCCCCATGTTCGAGTGGAACGAGGGCGAGCAGTGGCCAGAGCTGCGCAGGTGTGACTGGGTGATGCGTGCGAGAGGGTGACTAATGGCTGGATGTGTGCGGGTGTGGCTGCATGTGTCGTGTCCATGTGAGTAGTGTGATTGAGTGGTGGGAGTGGTGTGAGTATCGTGAGTGAGTGGTGTGGTGTGAGACGGTCTGAGTGGTGGGTGTGATGTATGTGTGTGTGTGTGCGTGTGCTCTTCCGTCTGTCTCACTTGCTCTCTTCCATCCCACATGCATCCCAACGGGTTCCCCATGCCCCCCTGCAGGCGCTGCACCATCCATTCACAGCCCCCCATCCGGACGACATGGCAGATATCAGCACTGCCAGGGCGCTGGCTTATGACCTCGTGTACAATGGCGTGGAGGTAAGAAATATTGCTTGTAGGTCGTGGCACGTAAACTCATGGCCCGTAATATTACTTGATTTGGGGCTCCATTGCACTGCCAGGGCTCTGGCCTACGACCTTGTGTACAACAACGAGGAGGTGAGACGAGATGAGATGCTGCCGGGGGCTTTTGAGAAGGTGGGCGCTGCTCTCTACAATCATCCGCTCTGCCAGGGCGCTGGCCTACGGCTTGGTGTACAACGGCGGGCGTTGAGGTGAGATGCTGCCAGGGATGTCGCTGTGTACGAGGACAGGCAGCGAGAGACACTCACACACACGTGTACACACACACATTGCAGCCAGTGCCATCATCGCATGTCAGTGCCAGTTTGTACATGTTGGGAGAGCATTTCCCATTCCTGCTTCTCTTCCCCCCGCCTCCACTCCCTCCCTTTCTCCCCTCTCTTGCACGCCGTGCCCCTCAGATCGGAGGCGGCAGTCTGCGCATCTTCCGGCGGGACGTGCAGGAGAAGGTGTTTGCCTGCATCGGCCTCACCCCCCAGCAGGCACGACACAGGAGGGCGGGAACGAGGGGGAGAGGACGGGGATGACCAGGGGGAGGGATGGGTAAGGGTGCATGGACTGGAGGGGGTTGGGGTGGGTTTGGGAGAGGAGGGGGGAGAGGTGGAAGTTGTGTGGGGGGTTGTTTGAGTGCATGGGCCTGATTTGACTTAGGACAGGCAAGAAAGAAGAGTGAATGGGGAAGAGAGGGAGGGGGTGAGAGAAGCACCTTGATGCGCCCGTCCAAGTCCAAAGAAGCCACCACACCTTACCACCAGCACCCACCACAAAGGTGGTCAGTGCTGCTGCGTGTCATCCCTTGCTCTGGCAGTAGAACAAAGAGCCCTCTCGCGCCCTCTGTGTGGCATCTGTTGCTTGCACATGGTTGGATGGTCTGTGTGTACCTTAGGCCTCCTCTCGCGCCCTCTATCGTTAGTCGCTCTTCTATTCTCTCGCGCTCATGGCCCCCTCCTCATGCTCTCCCTCGTGTATCACATGCTGTTTTTTACATGATAGCCTCTAATTCCTTCAACTCTCAACTCTCTCCCTTCAACTCTTCAACCCCTTTTCCCTGTTACAGGCGGAGGAGAAGTTTGGGTACCTCATGGAGGCATTCGACCTCGGGGCCCCACCACATGGTAAGAAACTCTGATGCTCTTCATTGTGCTGCTCTCATGCTACCTTCACTCTCACACCTTCTCTACACCACCTCCATCTTGTTCGTCACGCCCTCTGCCTTTTCCGTTCCCACTCCCAGTGGCTTAAGTTAGTAGCTGAACTGTCTGGTTATGCTGCTGCTCAAACAGGCATGACTGCCCTCCGCAAGGCCACCCTGTGCCGTTTTCATCTGTCCCTCCCCCTCGTGTTGTCAGCCTTGTTCCAGGCGGCATAGCATACGGGCTGGACCGCCTGGCCATGCGGCTGCTCGGCTAGCTGTCCATTAAAGACGTGACAGCCCTCCCCAGGACCAGCCCCTTAGTCATCTCCCTGTCCCGTCTTCCCCTCATCACCTCCTTCTCACATCAGGCGGCATAGCCTATGGGTTGGACCGCCTGGCCATGCTGCTGCTCAACCAGCCGTCCATCCGCGATGTCATTGCCTTCCCCAAGACCACCGCCGCTCAGTGCCTGCTCACCAACGCCCCTGCTCCAGTAGCAGAGCGCCAGCTGGCAGAGCTGTCGATCCAGGTGGCAGGGGAGGGAGGGGAGGACGACGGGGAGGAGGAGAGGTGATGGTGGGGGGGTAATGCTGAGGGGGATGGAGCATGACTGATCTACGGGTTTGCTAGTGACCGTGATGTGTAAGCTGTTAAGTGAACCATTCGTTTGATTAGAGGAGGAACAAGCATAGATAGGTTGGATGAGAAGCCTGGAGGAGAAATGTTGGGTTGACCACACTTTGTGGGAAGTGAGGCAACTTCAGGCCCACTTGGGTTGGGTTGGCCTCACTTTTGGGAAGTGAGGCAACCCGAGGCCAAGTGTGTTGCATTTGGGGGCTCCACCATAATTGGGTCGGATTGGCACCCCACAATGCAAGATTATACCGGAAGTTGGGTGTAGTCCCAACTCACTGTACACCACAATTGGTGTGCAGTCACAAGTGTTGGCATGCTGTTGTCAGAGGTCCACTGGTGATCCTCGATTGATCATAGGGAAGGGTTACAGGCTCCTTGTCCTGGGGGGTTATGGGCGCACTGACCCGTTACTTTACAAGCCATTTTATCCCAATGGTCTAGTGGTTGGGATTTGACATGTTATCAGAGCGTAAGTCTCGGGTTTGAATCCCAGTGTGTGCACTTCGGGCATCCCAGTGCGGGGGGGGTGTCAGGGGTCCACTGGTGATCCCCGATTGATCCTAGGGAATGACTACAGGCTCCTTGTCCTGGGGGATTATGGGCGCACTGACCCGCTACTTAACAAGCCCTTTTATCCCAATGGTCTAATGGTTGGGATTCTGACAGCCATAGCATACCGTAAGCCCCCGGATACAAACGCAGGCTGATGATAAGCACCGGCGCTCATAAAAGGTTTATGACGCTTATATCTATTGGAAACAAGTAACTTAAACGCCTCTGAAGTATCGAAGTTTCGACACGAAATGAAGCAGACTACAGTGTAGCAACACGAGTCAGCAAAAGCAACTGCTGGAGGTTACGCGAAGATCAAAGGTCGCTGACCTTTGACTCGACGAAAACAATACAGTGCGACAGTAAGGACACATAACTGACTCGTTACCAGGGCTCTTGCTAACTTTTAGGCCCGTCTGACGTTTTCCAAGAAAAAAAAAATCCGTCTGGCCCTCATATGGAGGATTCCTAGTGGTCTTTGCCTCAGACGGATTTTATAAGTTAGTATGTCGGCTCAGACAGATTTTCACGAAATCAGACATTTATTTAGTTATATAGTCTACACACAGACTACACTCTACTCTACTCTATTACTACAGTTAACCATACATTCATATTGAACTAGGATTCACTATCGCTATCACGAGAAGAATATTCCTCGTCGTCCCCATCTAGCTCTGAATCTGAAGCAATGTGCTCTTTGCCATGGTCTGCCCGTCTCTGCAAGGGGCCCAACTCCTCCTCTAGCCTGGCTGCTTCTTCTGCAGCTGCTGCTTCACGAGCAGCAGCCTCTGCTGCTGTTGCTGCCGCCTGCTTCGCGGCCAGCATCGCAAGGGTCTTCCTCGTGCGCTTCACAGGCCTTTGCGCATGCACCATCACCACATCCTTGGCTGGGCGTCTCTTCTTCGCACCTCTCCACAGCTCTATAGGGGCGGGCCAGTCAGGTTCGTACTTCAGCATGGAGATGGTCATCAGGTCGCCAAGCTTCGCGTCGTTTAGATTGCCGCGTAGCCAGCTCTTGATGACGTTCTGGCGGGAGAAGCCCCGCTCGCACTCCACGGTGCTCAGGGGCAGCACTGCGACCGCCATCCAAAGGCGGACCAGGTTGGGGTAGGCCGTGCACCAATCGGGCGAGCTGAGCATCTGCTTCAGGCCGTCCTGGAAGCTCAGCTCGCGGTGATGGGTCGACATGATCGTGGTGAAAAGGCTGATCTCTTTCTGTGCTCTCGTCCAGTTGATTCCAGGTGGCGGGGTGTGAATCAGAAACCAGTTTAATGAGAATATGAGCTGTTTAGTAAAGTACACAAACTCATACAACCAACAAAGCATAACGTGACACAAACATAGAAAACTCAATCAATGACAACCGAAATCGAAGACGTACCAGGCAGGGTGTCAGGGTCGGACGGTTTCCGCTTAAACAGATTGCGGAGAGCCTCCAGCCACTGCAAAAACAGACGCTGCCGCTTCGAGTGAGATTTCGGGTACGCCCCCTGCGTGAACAGCTTGGCGCCGTCGAGAGAGCCCAGATCCTTCATCCGGCTCTCTAGTCGCTTCAGCAGCTCCTTCACGTACCCCTTCGCCAGTGTGATGTAGTCGTCCAGGCCCGGGCCAGATTTCTGACCCTTGATGTTCTGTTCATGGAGGGTGTACTCATGAGTAGTCGGGGCGCCAGTCGAGTCGGTGCCCGTCACCTTCACTTCCCTTTTTTCCGACGAGGCGTGCTTCGACAAGAAGGCGCTCAGCTCGTTGCTCCCATCGCCGAAGTCGTCCGCGTCACTCAGGTAACGGTTGCGAAGGGTGAGCCTAGTGTTGTCCACCATCTGCAGCACATGTGTCACGTCGACCTGCCACACACACATGAGAGGCAGTGGAAAGGCACGCACGGGTAAATATCTCATTAATACGATTCATTAACACTAAAAACAGTTAACAGCAAGAGGCGTAACAACGTACCTGCCGTCGCTGGAACTTGAGGTTCAGTGCGTTGAGTTCCTTAAACACATCAGCCAAAAAAAACAGCATGAAATGGAATTTCAAACTGGTTACAAGGAGGTACGCCTTCGGGTCGTTCTCGTACAACAGAATGACAGCAGCTGGAAGGTTGTCAGCCAGTCGCTGAACCGCCAGACCACGTGAAAGCCACCTGACGCTGTGGATGCCCTGCAACTCCAGGTTCGTTTCACACAGCACCTCCTGCAGCTCTTTGAAGCGTAGGTGGAAGTTGCCCGACCGTCCAAGGAGCTCCGCTAAGGAACGGACGACATGGTCGACGATGTCAAGGTCGGGGTAGGCCTCTGCTGCATCCTTAGCGGCCAAAGCTTCCCTGACATAACACGGAAAAAGCAACAAGTTAGATACATATGCAACGCTTAAAAGGTGAGCATAATATCACAGGGTTACAAACCTGTGCGCGATGCAGTGGAACCCGGCGAGGTGTGGAATCCGTGCACGAAGGCGTGCCACTAGGCCCGTCTGAGAACCGACCATGTCGCTTGCACCGTCAGTGCTGATGCCACTGATGCGCTCAAGGTCGAGGCCGGTAGACTCCAGGTGGGTTAGAAGGACTGCCTGCAGGGAACGAGCATCGCACTGCTCAACTGTTAGGTGTGCGAAAAATTCGGTGACGGGAGTGTTGCTACGGAGGAACGACAAGTAGACTATCAGGTGCTTCCTGCGCCGACGGTCCGTGCTCTCGTCCAATTGAATGCCCAGGTAAGGACTCTCCCGGATGTGCTTCATGTGTTGAGCACGGAGGTAGATGACGAGCGTCTCAACCAACTGCGCAAACCCGTACCTGTAACGACCAGAGAGAAGGTAATTAGTACCGTGGTTTCCAACTAAAGGACGCGCAAAAAAACATAACACTTACTCGCTGTAGTAGGTGCCGGGATCCTTCAGGGGCATGTCGGGCGTGCCCATCTCTGCCATGAACTGGACCAGGGTCACAAACAACACAATGGGTGAGTCGCTTCTGCAAATAAAAATAACTGTTGCCAGGAGTTTTGTCAAACGCTTGGCTTCCCCATCACCGTTTTCAAAGTCGACAATCGACTTCTGAGCAGCATTCTTGCAGTCACGCAGCTGTTGGCGGTCCACTGACGCCTCATGCTTGATGGAATGCTGATGTTTCCGCATCGTCTGTCGTTGAATGTCAAGCCCACCCTCTCCATCGCGGCCGTACTGGTAGCTGGGGTCTCCGTGCACCATGCAGATTGAACGCCTCATGCAGGGTTGACCCCATAAAGTCTCCGAGATGATGAGCCACGGGAAGTGCTTGAGCCATTTCTCGTTAGCCTTCTGCTGCCACTGCTCGACGTTCAAGACGCACGGATACTTGTCGTCGTCGTTGGCGGCGACGGGCTGTGACGAGCCCGGGCGAGGTGTGCTAAAGTGGGGGACGGTTGCTGGCGGGACACCTGCAGTGGGACGGGCAAAGCTCAGAATTCGATGTTTGTATTTGCCGTTCCCTGCTCTAATGCGAGAAACAGAAATCGCCGGTAGAGTTGTGGCCACAGATGCCGAAACGGGTTGCAGCGAAGACTCAGCTTCAGCCGGGTTAGGCTGGGTCGTAGTCTCAGTAGCGTCTAACGTGGATTGCGAGGGGATAAGCGGCTCGTCGTTGCATGATGTGATGACGTTGGGGGAAGGAATTACAGGCGGAGGCGTCTTGACTGCGGCAGTGGTGGTCACAGGAATTGCTGCCGGAGTTTTACGGGTTAGGAAATCTGACGCAGAAACCCGTGGCTCGTCAGGTACCCCGGGTGGATCACGCCTAGCGCCGTCGGTTGACTCGAGGGCGCCAGATAGCATGGTGTGAGGTGGTGTATCACATCACATGAGGCAGTAGCAACACAGGAATTCTAGACGGTACGCGGGAACAAGCTACGGGACGATAGGTATGCTTTGGGCTAGGCGTCAAAGATTGAAAGGCAAAGGCAGGTTGTCAAAGAAAGGCTTGGAGAAGAAAGGAAGGGAAGGGACCATCACCTCACGAACCGCGCCGCGCCTCTCTCACGAGGGTTTCACGAAGGTGGGTGCATGCTTTGTTTTGGTGTGCACCGACTGTCCTTGCACTCTGCCAGCGAGGTGGGGGGCAACAGCCTGGCAGCGGCGCCGACAACAGCTACCCAACAGATGCGTGGCAGCAACTGAGTCAGATGCAGTATGCGCTGGCAGGAAGAATCCGAAATTCACCCCCGTTCCCTCACGCAGAAATCATTACGCGTGCCTTCACATGCAACACATCGCTGCTCCTCTGGCCAACTGGGCTATTTTGTCTCTATCAGACGAATCAATACGCGATTTCTGCTTGATCAGACGAATCTATATAAGTTTCCTGAAAAAACATATGATGCTATAGCCTTGGTCTTGGCTCACATATGGCCTATAAGCTAAAGTCTGCCGCAGCATATGAACTACACATTTCGTGCCTGAAACCTAGACCAACAGACTAAATTAGTCTGCTAACGAGGGCCCTGCTCGTTACTGAGCAGTTACCCGAGTCGGCACTGTGTCGAATCGCAATAGCAAAACAGTTAAAGTAGAACTTTTCATATTCCTTTGTAACCATATAAAAGCCTTGTATTTCCCTGCTTTTATCAACTTATCTTGTTCTCACACACTAGTACAAGGTGGTTCAGCAACTCTGATATTAAAACGCTTCTGCAACTACAATATTCCTACTTCAACCTAGATCTTAGCCTTGAAAGATCCTAAGGGCTTTTCTCAGCCCAACATGGTATGAGAGCAAACAGGGCAAGATCAATTTCTCAAAAACCTACAACAACGCAGGACATGGCAACACAGAAGAAGAGGAGCTCCTCTAACGGATCTCTCGGCACTACTCCTACTCCACCTCCAGCCTCTGGCCTACAGACAGAGGAAGGCACAGCAACAAGACCAGCTGCGGAGTCGACCGAAACTCCCGGGAATCAGCAGCAGGCTTCGACCCAAACATGATGGAGAAGTTCTTCTCCTTCATGTCCTTCTACGAGCAACACCAGCAAGCAGCTCTTGCGCAATCAAACAACAGCGACAACAACAATAGAGCAACACCGATGAGCCTTGACGGTTCATCCTATGCACGCGGAAATCAGCAGCAACCCACCTTTGCTCCGTACGAGCCTCAACGTGGCTCCATCAGCTTTGCGCCACGACCACAGTCTTCACCTGAACAAGAGAAGTCATTGGACGCACTTCAAGTTCAATCACAATTCGCACATGTGTTAAAACTGCAAACGTCAACGCTCTTCGATGGAAAGGACTTCTATACCTGGTCATTCGAGTTCGAGCTGATGATGGAGGGCGCACAAATTCTCGGATTCTTCGACGGGTCCCTGCCATATCCAGCACATGGGACATAGTACGACAAGCAGCAGTACACATATAAGACGCTGATGGCATATACAATACTACTGCGAAACTTATCTCCAAACGAGCAGCAGAACATCCAGTCTAGCGTACGACCACATCGAGGATACAGCAACTCCGCCGAACTGGCGTACGACCACCTGAAGAGCCTATATCAAGCAACAGACAGTGTTAATTAAAGTCGTCTCATGGCACAGCTGACAACTGTGGAAGTGAAACCCTGCGAAAAGGGAATGGCGTATATCAGCCGTTGTCGCGGACTGCGCGACAGACTCCTTCGATGCGGAGGAGCAATATCCGAAGAAGCCTTCGTAACCGTCATCATCGCCGGCCTCGGTCCTCATTGGCGCTCCACTCGAGCACTCCTTCGAGCTCACGGGAAAATCTCCGAAGCAGCACTCTGCGCCGAAATTCACGCTGAACAGCAGGATATGGATCTGCACGAGGAAAGACACAAGAAGAATGCGTCAGCTCCAGAATTCGCTTTTCACACTCAACGACGCTACAACAACAAGAACAACCGACAAGTACAACAGTACGTCCCACCATTTTGTCATCTTTGCAAGACGTCCGGACATCTACGCACACACTAACCGAATCAGCAGCAGTCAACGACGGCGCAACGTCAACTTCGACCTTCAAGCAGCCAAGTAGCTTCTACGCAGGCACATCCCACCAATCAAGTGCAGTCTTCAACGTCTTCAACGACAAAACCTGCACAAGGAAAAAGAAACATCGTGAGCTGCATGACGAGAACAACATGTCAGAACATTCTGTTTCTCTAGTCTGCAGTGGGGTACTCTGTAGTGAGTACAACCCTGTTAGGGTTTGTTATATGTATCCAACTGCTTGCTAGTGCAATCATCCATTCCTTTCTCATTTCATTCTCGATTCTCACATGGTATAGAGCAATTTCGATCCTAAGGGCCCACCACGTCTTCAACTTTTTTTTCCTCACCTTCCTGCCGCGCACGTCGCGCCTACCCTTAAGGCCCCGTAAGGCCCCGTCAGGCCCCGTTTACGGCCCCGTAAGGCCCCGTTTACGGCCCCACTTACGGCCCCGTACGGCCCCTTAAGGCCCCGTCGGCCCCGTTTACGGCCCCGTCAGGCCCCGTCGGCCCCGTTTACGGCCCCGTAAGGCCCTGTACGGCCCCGTTAGGTCCCGTAAGGCCTCGTTTACGGCCCCGCTTAAGGCCCCGTAAGGCCCCGTAAGGCCCCGTCGGCCCCGTTTACGGCCCCGTAAGGCCCTGTAAGGCCCCGTTCGGCCCCGTAAGGCCTCGTTTACGGCCCCGCTTATGGCCCCGTAAGGCCCTGTAAGGCCCCGTTAGGCCCCGTAAGGCCCCGTTTACGGCCCCGCTTAAGGCCCCGTAAGGCCCCGTAAGGCCCCGTAAGGCCCTGTTAGCGGCCCCGTCAGGCCTCGTCAGGCCCCGTAAGGCCCAGTCAGGCCCCGTTAGCGGCCTCGTCAGGCCCCGTCAGGCCCCGTAAGGCCCCGTCAGGCCCCGTCAGGCCCCCACCCACCCTGTTGCGGTCCTGTTCCGGCCCTGCCCCGGCCCTACCCCGACCTGTCTCGGCCCTGCTGCGGCCCTGTCGCAGCCCTGTCCCGGCCCCTTCTACGGCCCTGCTCCGACCCGGCCCCGGCTCTGCCCCTACCGTGCCCCTGCCCTGCTCCTGCACTGCTGCGGCCCGGCCCCGGCCCTGCCCCGGACCTGTCGCGGCCTCGCCCCGGCCCTGTCCCGGCCCTGCCCCGGCCCTGCCCCGGCTCTGCCCCGGCCCTGCCCCGGCCCTGCGCCGCCCCTGTCCCGAGCCTGTCACGGCCCTGCCCCGACCCTGTCGCGGCCCTATCGCGGCCCCGCCCCTGCCATGCCCCGACCCTGCCCAGGCCCCGCCCCCCTCATGCCGGTCGTGGCGCACCAGGGGCCCGTGCACCGCCCCCCCCCCCTTTTCCCGTCGCCTTGCGTGGCGAGCGGGGGGGGGGGGGGGGGCGCGGGGGGGCGCGCGTCGCCCCTTCTTCCGCCTACTCTGGCGCCCTGGGAGGCCGCGCGTCGGCCCCCCGTAGGGGGGGCGACCTGGAGGGGGGGCCGTGCGTCGGAGCAGCCGCCCCTGGTGCAGCCGCCCCTGGAGCAGCCGCCCCTGGTGCAGCCACCCCTGGTGCAGCCGCCCCTGGAGCAGCCGCCCCTGGTGCAGCAGCCCCTGGTGCAGCCGCCCCTGGAGCAGCCGCCCCTGGTGCAGCCACCCCTGGTGCAGCCGCCCCTGGAGCAGCCGCCCCTGGTGCAGCAGCCCCTGGAGCAGCCGCCCCTGGTGCAGCCGCCCCTGGTGCAGCCGCCCCTGGAGCAGCCGCCCCTGGAGCAGCCGCCCCTGGAGCAGCCGCCCCTGGTGCAGCCGCTCCTGGACCTCAGCAGCCGCCCCTGGCCCCTGGCCCCTGGAGCAGCCGCCCCTGGACCCCCCCCCCCCCCCCCCCTCCTCTCCGCCCTTTTCTCCTCTCCCTCCCCCTGCTGCGGGTGCAGCAGTGGGGGGGAGGGGATCTGCCACTCCCC